GGCCATCGCCCCCGGGGGGGTGATTTCTCACTTTCTGTCTCTCTGTCTCTGTCTTTCTGGTGAGTGCACATGCCCTATAGCAAAAACCTCTCCAAAAAAAAAAAAAAAAAAGATTCCATCATTGTTCCACTTCCTTGTTATTTTAGGCTTTCTTTTTTTAACACAGTAGGAAATAATTAGTAATGATTAAATAATTTATAGAATAATAAAACAGTGAAGTATTTCAAAAGATATAGAGGGACCAGCAGTTAGCTTAATGGCTATGTCGCTGGACTCCCATGTAGCCGACCGCGGTTCGAGTCCTGGACCCGGTGGCTTAACCTCACATCGGGCGCATATGCGTGCGTGCCCAAGATCCCGAGAGGAGAATGGAGAAGGGATTGCAGCGTGGCCATCCCCTCTGGGGGGTGATTTCTTGCTTTCCATCTCTCTGTCTCTTTCTGGCAAGTGCACATGCCCTATAGCAAAAACTCCTCCAAAAAAAAGGATATAGAAAAAAATTAGTCTCTAAAATCCCATAATATCTCTTATTTATAAGAGACCAAAGAACCCATATGGGAATAACCAGACATGAGTTTTATTCTATTTTTAAAAAGCCAATTTTCTCTTTGTCCTTTGGAGAATATGTAAGAAAAGCTAAATAAATTATCAGTTTCATTGAAGCATGGAGAATGGTCACAGATACTGGAGACAGTGTGGGAAAAGGATGGGAGATGAGAGAAAGTGAGAAGAAAGGAATCAAGGAGAAAAATGGGGAAGACATTTAGGAGACACAGAACTGGAGGACTATTAATGATAACATGTATGATATCTTAAACAGGACTGGTGTGAAGTGTATTCATGTTGGGTAATTTTACAAGCTGTGCTGATGTACTGTGAATATATAAATTAGAATAATAATAAAAACAAAAAACAAATAATAATAAAGTATTTTCAGTTAATACCACTAAAAAAAAGTATCTTAGTCCATACTTCTTTGTTGGAAGTAACCTTTTTTCCCAAGGGTTGGGACACACGTGGCTAGTTTTGTTCTTGGAGATTCTACCACTCAAGACATGTGTATTGCTGCTGAGTGAAAACTTGACCCAAGTTGAGAATATACATTTTTTTGCCAGATTTTGAATTATCAGATACAAAACAGGAATCCAGACCCAAAGAGCTAGGTCAGAACTAGCAGAATGGTGGACCCCAAAGTCTTGAGTGAGCCTAAACTGTAAGGAAGCAGAAAATTTCAGGGAAGCCAACCTACAAAAGGAATGGAGTGAGTGAGCAGAATCCATTGTGGCCCAGTGAAAAATAAGGGTGATTAAACCTGGCTAAACTTCCTGCAATTTGGCTTCTTCTACTTTATTACTTTAGAATTAGCTTCCGTTTCTTTTTTTTTTTTTTTTGATGAAGTCTTTTATAGTATATTTTTGATAAGTAATTTACAGAGGTGAAATAAGACCAGAGATAAAATTTTACATACTGCTTTTTCACTTATTATAATATGGTGATTTCCTCTTATGGTTACAAATTGTTAATAAATTTCATTTTAATGTATACATAATATTCCATCATGTAAAGCACTACAGTATAATTTACTGATCTTGTTTTGCTGGACATGTTGTTTCCAGGTGGCAAAAACTATAGACCAGGCTGAAATGAGCACAAGTTGGGAGGTGCAGACATTCTATACACCTGGGTACCAGCACTACTGTCTAGCTTTGTGCAAGTCATAATGTCATGTCTCTTGTGAAGAGAAGAAATTTAGTGCATAAAGAACATGCATGATTCATAAATGATAGCAATTATAATAAAGTTTTTAAAATTAGAGTTAATTTATTAGATCAGAATAGCTATAGTCAATTTATTATTTCAAAACCAAGAAGTTTTAGGTTCCGTTTCTTGAAAACAACATATCCTTACAACAGGACTGGAATGCCTAAGTGACAGATCTGGAGAGAAAGTCGCAAAACTGACTGGAGTCAAGGCAAAAAGGGCTAAGATGGGAGATAAGATGGGAGATGAATCAAGAGGAGTCCCTATTCCATGGAAAACTGGTATTTTCGAAATGATGACAAAGTAGCTAAACAATTGTTAAATATTTCTTGGGACTCAAACTACATGCCAAGGTTGTCTGGCTTAAAAAAAAAACAAACAAGGTAGGAAAAGCAGGGAAATTACAATACTATGTTTCATAAAGGGCAATCTTTTCTGCTGAGAATGCTGAAGATCAGGTCTGATTTTATGAGCTTGAAAAAGCCCAGGAGCCTCGCAATTCAAAGGAGAGTTATCTAGCAGTAGCCAGACTATCTTGGGAAATGTAAACCTTTTCCATAGAATAAATATGTTGATGACCAAATCCTGCCTCCAACCCTTTGTAAGCACTTTCATTGAATTGGAATGTAGGTCTGTAGAGGGACAGAGTATAGGGGCAGACTAGGAAAGAAAGAGGTGCTTTTGGTAAATCTCTTCCAGTCACTTGTCCTTTAGCTTCTTGAAGACAAGGCCATTAGGAAGAAACAAAGGGGATGAGAAGAGCTAGGTAACAAAAATCCTGGAGGAATGGTAATTAGGCAGCCTGATGAATAAGGGGACAAATTTACTCCACAAAAATGCCAGTAGTCACCTTTCAGTCAATGACCACTCAAGACAGACAAATGGTTGAAAGCCCACTAAAATTCTGGGGTAGTTATCACCAAGGACCTTAGTCTTAAACAAGTGTCCATACTCATACCAACATGGTGAGTCCTGGCCTCTTCTGCTGGCTCCAGACTAAAGTATGCTGGCACCAGAAAACATTTGTTCAAGTGGAGAGAGGAGTCTATTTCATGTTCTTCAGAAAAGCACTGTCCTAAAGGACAATAGAAAAAGGAATTCTTTCTAATGGGCAGATCCTAGGACTATTAGATACATTTAAGAAATTAAGTCTAGTTCAAGGGGAGCCAAGAAATGAGCTCTTGGCATTTAGTGGTCTGAACGTTACAACCGCTTTCTAGGTTTTTTCCTCGGCTCCAATCTGACCTCCGTGTTTATTTCTTCTAGAGTTTGTGTAGAGACAGAGGGAGAAAAACCCCTCCCCACCCCACACACCCAATGCCACAATCCCTTCTCCTCCATCTCTCCCCCCTTCTGGGATGTTGGTCACGCACACACAGATACCTGGTATGTTTCCCGAGTCAATGGTCTGAGACCCAAACCACACAATGGGCTGTGTAATATCTGGCTGCCTTTCCAACCTGGCCACAGAGCCAGCCTATAAAGCTCCTTTTCTAATTGATCGTTTTTATTGCCATTTTCCTTTTCATAACTGCTGGTGTGCTGGTAGTAAAATTAGTCATTGAACCTAGAAGGTATTTTTCTGATAGTATGGTGATCACATGGGACTAGATGGAGACTGGGGAGCAGGAATTTGTTGCTTTAACTGTAATACTGGATCATGTTAGAATATTTTGATGGATGAGTGTGCTTTGCAGTTAGTGGATTGACCTAACCAAATCTAATTCTTGGCAAAGATTTCAAAGCCCTGTTCTGCTGTCTTTTTTTTTTTTTTCTTTTTTAAATCAGGTGAACAGTATCTTCAAGGCTGCCACCAAAAGTTGTACAAGATTGTGTGTACACAGCACATTCCTATAAAGGAATCCTACCCTATCATCCTTGTCAAAAGTAACTGAGATGCCTGATCACATTGAGTCACATTTCATTTCTGGAGATTTTGAGATACAGAGACTGAAGTAAGCAGTGGTCACTAGAGTTCAAGGTTGTAGAGTTGGGTTCAGAGCTAGCACCACAGCAGTTCAAATGCATGAAAAAGCTGAGGTTCTGGAGACAAACATGTCACCCCAGTGAGTAAGCAGAAATGAAGAGGCCTTCAGAGAAACCAGTTGACAGAGAAAGTGGATACCATAGCTAATTATATGTTAGATAAGATTAAGAAGAAGGAGACAGATGGGGAGTAGAAAACAAGGAAAGTAGCAAGTGAGACAGAATTAGAGGCAGAGAAACAGATCCAGGGGTAGTTAGAGACACCTAAGATTAATTGCCAGTGACTTCTAGATCCTCCTAGCTGTACTTCCTGCAATTAAGGAAGTTAAGATCCAGATTTCTTTAACTCTTTTACAAGCTACTTTGTTTTTTTTATTCTTTCAACCAATTCTTGACCTGAACAGCTGCTCCATGAAGATGTTTGACATAAATGGAGCTGCATCTTTTAAGGAGCTGCATCTTTTAAGTGTTTAATTTGTAACTATGGATACACACACACACACACATCAAATACTCCTCATATAATTAGGGTAAAGGTGAGGCTTCTCAAGGGAAAGGGGCTATAATTTCTTTGTAATGACCTAACTACTGTCCAAAGACACATGGTTTTATATAATAATGATGATAGGTAACATTTACTGATCAATTCTCATAGGACAGTTTTAAAACCTATACATGCATGATCTCACTTATTCTTCATAACCATCAATGAAGTAAACCTGATTATTACCATTCCCATTTTATAGATGAGGAAATTAAAGTACAAAGAGATTAAGTAACTTGCTCAAGGTCACACAGTCAATAGAAGGATAAACTTGTATTAAATGTTCATTTACATTAACAATGGCATCCGGAAAATAAAAACAAGTTTATTCATGCATTTAAGTTTTATTTCAGTCAAGACATTTTTGTTAAATGCCTGTTAAGTGCAAATTACTGATTTAAACTAATAAAATGATTAACACCAATGTTACAAATATAAAGTCCTTTTAAATATCAAATACTACTATCAACTTTTCTTTTCTGACCCATAAAAAAAAAAGTACTTTCAAATTAAATCTATCAGTTTCCAAAATACCTCCTTTAAAACAGAAGGGAATAAATTCTGACAATGCTATTTCCATTGCATTCATAATTTCAAATTCTCTTCATTATTTGAAGATTACTTGCTGCAAACTAGCTCAGGTGAAAATTCAGAGAAGTCTACATTGATAAATACATATCTGTTTAATTAATTAACATGTAAGTTACACATGTATATAAAAAAATAAAATGACAAGGAGGAGAGGAGTTCTTCATGGAAGGTGGTGAGTTGCCATGGATTCTGCTTCTCTTGATTTTCTGAGCAGGGCTTGTTTGAGGGCACTAATTTTCTCATCAAGTTCTGCCAATGAATAGTTCTGCTGTAAACAATAAGAACACAAAGTGCTGAATAAGACTGAAGTATCTTAATGCAGATAAAGTGCTAAATGAGCTATAAATATTTAAAATATTCAATAGCACAGTAAAATGGTTTTTTCCTAAGAATAATTTTAAAATTTTATGTTGACTATATCATAAACTTAAAGGGATAAAAACAAGACTTAAATATTTCTTACTTTCTCTTTCCTAATGACTAATTTCTCCTCAACCTTTTAAACTTTGAAAGGATAGTAAAACTTTTCTAAAAATAAAAAAAAAAACCTGACTAGTCTCATCAATAGTAAAAAAAAAAAAATAGGCTTTAGGATTAACTTACCTGCTTAAAATAGCTACAAATTCTCAAGTATAATCAATTACTCCTGAAAAAATGACTGCTCTCAACTGTACTCAAAATGTTATTCTTAAAAACTGATTAAGCTGTGGGTCAGCCTGTGGTATGGTGGTGAAGGTAGCTGGGTCCCTTGTGGCCACCTATAGTTTGAGTTCTAGGGCCTCAAGAAACGTGCTGGATGCATGTGTGTGCATGCCCAAAATCCAGAGAGGAGGGAGAAACACACGAGAAGGGATTGCAGCATTGACGACTTCCCTTGGGGAGTGGGGGGGAGTGGGGTGCCTTGTCACTTCCCCATCTTTCTCTGTGTCTCTCTCCAGTAAGTATATACTGGCAAAATTGTTTTTCTAAATTGGTTTTAAATGAACAAGCCACTACATATTTAAGTTTTCTCCAACTTTAAATTTCTATTACCACCATTAGAAGCTAGTAAAACCTTATGATTTAAAATTCAACTAATTAATATAATAGCATTTCGGACAAGAGTGGGCTTAGGTAAACCTGTACTAAACACCCTTCTCTGGTTTTAGACGTGCTAACAAAAGGGTAAGGGGCAGAGGCTGACAATACCGGAGCACTTAATGTTTTTAGGAATTCTGTAACTGATACACTCTTCTACTACTAAATGCAAGATAAAGATTATAATTTCTTTATTCATGATAGAGCATGTGCTCCTGAGAGAGGGAGGGAGGGAAAGGGAGATAGAGACGGAGACGGAGAGAGAGAGAAGCACCCTCCATGAGGTCTGGTGTCACTGTCAATTCCCTTCCTCTACTCCTCAGTCTGTGGCCAGATATTCAAATCAATGTCATCATGTGGGATCCAGCTTCCCTGGAGTATTACTGCTGTACCATAGATCTGGCCCAAGGATAAAGATTTTTATATTTACTTAACCCACCTGAGTCATGCCCTTGAAATAAAATTATTTCTCTAACTCAAGTATATTAGTTTTTACTGGTCTTTTCTTTAGTCCTAAATTTTACTGGGGTATGACCTAATGCAATCATAGTAAACTCGTATTAGTAAGTATAAAACTAATCAAACTATATTTTCAGAGACCAAAATGAAAAGGTAGTAACTTAACTTACTTGAGGTGGTTGAACTTTTCTTCTTTTTCCTGTGAAGTGCTGCATTAAAAGTTAAAAAAAAAAAAGGTAAATAATATATAGAAAATTTGAGCGTCAATTTTCCTTCATAGAACACTGTACAAAATATGTAGAGGCTCTGAGACCCCAACAGAAACAAAGTCCACAAATTCACAAAACATTCTCTGTAAACAACATCTACTATCTTATATTCTGATTACCCTCTGAAGATGAGGACATTAAAAGCATATAGTTGTGGAGCTTGCAGGTGGCACTGTGGTTAAGGGCACTGGACTCCCACATGGCTGACTGCCTGTGGGAGTCCTGTACCAGTAAGCTTTCTCTCTCTCTCTCTCTGTCTCTCTCTCTCACTGGTGAAATTAAAAATAGATAGATAGATAACTGGATAAATAAAGTTAAAATAATTCTTTAAAAAAAAAAAAAAAGACAACACAGTAGTAACAATGCAGCAATATGCCTGTAGCTGGCAATACATACCTTCCCATAAATTACCAGTGTCTAATGAGCCTGACTGTGGAAAGGCGTGTTCTGGCAGTGTACTAACAAATGCAGCAGCAACAGAGAGAGGAATATGGAATTTGGTGTGCCAGGCTAAGGGATGAAAACACACACACACACACACCCCTTTGACTAGCTCTGACGGTCACTGTGGTTTTCTATGCAAGCAGCTATCTTCTACTTCTTTGTGGCCCAAGGGAATGGAGGAGTCTACTGAAGAGTAAGAGGATACTCTCTGGAAAAAGCTTCCTCACATCTTTTGATTCACAGTTCCTCTGAACTCCACTGTATCTGGGTAGGATTTGGGTGTGCTATAGCTATATTGCCTCCTGCCTAAGAAGGAGTCAACACTAAGCAGAGCTGGGAAGGGAAAGAACCCAATTCTTTGACAATCATAATTTAGTCACAGAATCAATGAACCTTGGAGACTGCACTACTATTAGACTTCCTATTTTATAAGATCATTTCCATACTACTTAAGCCAATTTGAGTTCAAATTTATTTTTTAAGTGTAAAAAATTTAAAATTTATTCCATGAAAGAGAGCATGGCAGGAGTTGGGGGGGGGAGGTCAAGTACTCCCAACACAGTTCACATGCTGCAATCCACCCCCAGTCTCAGCCAGCCAGGACCACAGGCACTTTCTTGCACAGTGTACAGGGAGACCTTGGGACCAGAACCCAGGATGTTACCATATGACTTCAGCACAGCAGAGCACTGCATTACCACTGTGCTACCATGGCTGGCCTGTATGTCATTAGTAATTGGATTATTACTATATCATGAAATCAACATGAAAATAGATTAAGAAAAATAAGTACATCAGTGATTCACTGGCTTAAAAACATAATAAAATGTAGTCTTTGGCCTTATTTTAGGTCTTAAAAGAATATTTTAGAAACACCACATCAACTGTGGACATACTAGGTTAGCTTTAACTTTTGTTATAGGTATAAGGAAATCTCAGTACAAAGCTAGAAATTTTTTGTTTTAGAGTTTTTTGCTACAGGATGTGTATGCTCACTGGAGAGTCAGAGACAGAAAGCGAAAAATCATCCCTTAGGGGGGATGGCCATGTGGCAATCCCTTCTCCTCCATTCTCTCCTCGGGATTTTGGGCATGCACGCACATGTGTCTGGCATGAGATTTAAGCCACTGGGTCTGGAACTCCAACAGTGGTTGATCACATGAGAGTCCAGCGACGTAACCATTATGCCATCTGCTGGCCCCAAAGCTAGAAATTTTAACAAGTTTTGATACCTTCAAAATTGTCTCGTTTCTCCCATTATTTGTCCTTGGCAGGTAATTTAGAGCTACGTTTATAATGCCTGTGTTCTAATGAAGAGATGACAACACGTATATGTCCAGGGACCCTGTGCTCTAAGAAAATTCGACTCCCATTACCCCAGTTCAGCCTTCATTTCACTCTGGCTTGCCCGTATTTCCTTGACTCCAATTTTTCTCCCAATGCAGATAACATGATGCTATCAGAGACCTAAGCAACAGCTTTCTTTAAAAAACTTAGCTTTGCTTTAGTGACGCCAGAAATGTCAAAAATGTCACGCTAGTGTGACATTCAAGGCCCTCCAATATGTGTTACAGTATAATCTCCCAGCAGGCCCAGCTGTTCACTTGGGCTTCAGGCGCACCATGCACTCTCACACACACATGGCCAGTGCGTATGATGCTGACTTGGCCTTCAGGGTTTCCGCTCCCAAGACTTTCCTTCAGAACTAGGAATTAATATAACAGAGTGAAAATTACACCTAGTCAGTGCTTTGGAACAAAGTTAACACACCTTAAAAAGTCCCATAATTATCGAGTCATGTTCTATTCATTCATTTGCACATTAAATGGACGTCTACTGTGTTCTCTGTGCTCAAAGATGAACAAGACATGGATCTTGCCCTTGATAGTTTTAAAACACACTGTGAAAAACTGATGTGTAAACATATAATTATAAGTGATAAGTGCTATAAAGTGAACAGTGTTGTAGAAATATACTTGTAAAGCATGTTATACTTAACTGCTTTCAAGTGTCATAATTTAAAATCAGTAATTCTTTGGAAATACTCATAAAAATTGTATATTTTAATAGTCTATTAAGTCATACCTTTAACATTTAAAAAATTACTTTAAAATCTTTTCAGGATTTAATGTGAAGGATAAAGATCTTTAGAATTATTACATTAAAAGGTATAACACAGTTTCGTCATAATTCCTGTTCAATATACACTATAACTTATTTTGAAGTTTTATGTCTGTTTCATGAAATGTAAAGAACTTTATATAACCTTTTTGTTTTATGAACCATCTCTTTTCTATTAATGGTCCTTTTTATATGCTTTAATGTTACTCATGATAATCTACCCACCTGCAAGAAGGTCCCTCATGTTTAGAATTCATCTACATGTCAATCAGGACAAATATCTCAAACTGTTTTCAGTACCCAGAAGTTCAATTTCCAACAAAAGTTTAACCTCTAAGAAATTTACTGACCTCAACGCCCCCGTAATTCGAACTTTAGAAACTAGAAGATAATGCTACACATATAGTTTTATCTGTATACTTTTAAGGGAAAAATACATAAAATTATCCAATTACTATGTATGTACTCTAATCATGAGGATGGCGAAGGTGACGAATAGTGTGCTGTGTCCTCTGAAGGGTGTTTTCAACTGCTCTCGTGGGCAAAGGCAATCCTAGAGCTTGTTCTATTTCAAGTAAAGAATGCAGCTCCTAGAAATAGATCACTCAATCCATTACAGAAGGGTGCATAGAAATCTTTCCTTAGGGCTTGTGCCATATATGTTTATAGGCCTAGAGGACAGAATGAGGCTGGATATTTCAACATTTATTTTGTGCTTTTGTATGGCTCACTATTAATGTGGATATGTTACTTCTAACATAAATCTAGAAGTCACTCTTCTAATCAAAGATACACGGTTTTTAATAGATCTGGACATACATTTTAAGCACTAGTTTCCTCAAGATTGGCTATTATCTATCCTTTTCTAAAAGCCTAACACATCCAGGCCAATTTTATCTATATTTATTTATAGGGCTTCCTACCCTGAAGTTATTTAGTTACCAAACATCTGACTGCAGACAGCTCAGAGTGTCAGTGTTCCTAACCATTGATGTTTAAACTTTCATCTCCACAAAGACTCGCTTAGATGTCTTATGTAGAAGTCCTAAATCAAAAAGCATATCTAATATTTCAACTTCATACTTTCCTATAACTTCAAATACACATTTCCCACAAAATATCTACCCCTCTAGATTTTCTTATTTCTGTCAATGATACTGTCATTTTTCCAACCAGAAACTGGACTCATCCTTGCTCTGTCTCTTTTTCCACATCCAACCATCAGTATTTGTCTATTTTCTTTTCTGTTCTCACCCAATGTCTCTATTTCAGGATCTCACTTCACATATAAGCTACCAGGTCGACAGCAAAGTCATGATGTATTTTCTTGTTTTTCAATGCAAAAATGTGTCATGACTTTCCCAATAACCCAACAGTATAATACTATCTTTATCTTTAGTTACCTTTTCATTTATCTTCCACAACAGAATTAGATACATCTTTCTAAATATTGCATTTTTCTGTTTTTAATAGAGTCCCTCCACTCTGTGCCAACCCCCTCCCTGAAGAAACGATTTTAAAACTTCAGGTATAGCATTAAAGGTCTTAGGTAGGGGGCCAGCAGATTGTGTAGTGGTTATGCTGCAGGACTCCCACGTGGTAAACCACAGTTTGAGTCCCAGACCCAGTGACTTGAAGCTCATGCTGAATGCATTTGTGTGCATACCCAAAGTCCTAGGAGAATGGAAGAGAAGGGATTACGGTATGGCCATCCTCTCTGGGGGGGCTGACTTCTCATTTTCTCTCTCACTGTCTCTCTCTCTTGGGCGAGCACCCACACCCTAAGGCAAAAACCTCTAAAAGAAATTTTAAAAAAGGTCCAAGGTACAATCTGGCTAATTTTACTTCTTTAACTAAACACTCTATCCTATAATAACAAATTAAAACAAACAAAAAACTCTCCAAGATTATGACATGAAGGGTTTGTTTTTCTGTTAAGAAAGTACATACATTCTAAGTTTTTATAAATCAGAATCAGAGAAATAATAAAGTGAATTGTCACTGGAGGTATCTGACACTACCACACTCTTGTAAAATTAGTTGTAAACAAGAATTTTATTAATAAGGTATAAAACTGAACTAGAAGATAACTGTTCTAGGGATTACTTAATGGGGGCTGCTACAATGGTAGACTGCTATAGGAAAAGTCACAAAATCTTTGCAAAGTTTTCTAGAAAGATACCCTCAAAGCAGAAAGACCTTTGTAATCATGTAATACAAACACACACATTTCCTACATGTGAACATCTGAAGGACAGAGGAACTGAGTGGCTTAGCCACATTTATATAGTTACTTCACAGTAGCTGATAAAACAAATGCCAACATTTACTGAGGTTTTTCACTACTGCTAGGCGGTGAGCTAAGTGATCTGTAATCTCTCATTTAATCCTTGCTTCTACCCTTAGTACTTTTATAAACCTCATTTTACATTTGAAAACATTAAATGACTAAAACTCACTCTCTGAACCTTTGTCATTTAGGACTTGCTGCCCCTTATTATATAACCTGCCTTAGTCTCCTGGAAATGCTTTTGTACCTCACTTTAAATTCCAATCTGGAGCTAGCAGGTGGCATGGTGGTTAAGGTGCTAGACACCCACATGGCTGACTACAGTTTATGTCCCGGATCTGATGACTTACTTGCTTTCTCACTTTCCCTTTCTCTCTGTCTCTCTGGTGAACACCTAAGCCTTGTAGAAAATTAAATAATACTAAATAAAATTAAATAATTATTTTTAAAAATTCCAATCTGTAACTTCACAAAGATTGCTACAATATACTTAATAAATTTATTTTTTTTAACACAGACTTATATGATCTATGCTATTGGGTTGTTGGGAAAATCATGACGCATTTAATTTTTGGAGAGGTTTTTGCTATAGGGCGAATGTGCTCACCAGAAAGACAGAGAGAGACAGAGAGATAGAAAGTGAGAAATCACCCCCAGGGGGGGATGGCCACACCGCAATCCCTTCTCCTCCATTCTCCTCTCGGGATCTTGGGCACGCACGCACACGTGCCTAGCGTGAGTTTAAGCCACTGGGTCTGGGACACGAACCGCAGTTAGCTACATGGGAGTCCAGCGACATAGCCATTATGCTAACTGCTGGTCCCATTCATGATGCATTTCTGCATAGAAAAATTTGTCATGACTTTCCCAACAACCTAATGATAGAGCTATTTTACATAATTATTTTAGAAACAGGAGCTTTTATAACCTTTTACATTATTTTAGTTCTAATACGGCACTACTTCAAAGAAAAATAAAGGCAGGTATTACAGATAATCACTTTAGAAGACTGAGAAAAATAACACAATGAACTCAGGATTTTTTGTCTGAAAATGCTGATGTGTCAAAAAAGATACTTATGTGCACAACACTTTCTTAGTGTCCTTAGAAGAAGGGGCAAGAATAAATTAAATGAATGATATATGCTAAAGTTGAGAAATTAGACAAATATAGGGTAGTCTTTCAAAAAGTATGGTGGTTAAGGTGAAGAAGACAGGGTGGCAGCTTGAGGTGCCTATCTGTCTGGTCCAGAGAAAGTGAATGTAAGAGCTGAGGGAACAAGTCTGTGGAGGGAGGGATGAGAGACAGAAGGGATAACTGACAGCAGGGTCTCAGAGGAATCCTCTGTTTTACTAAATACCAAGTCCAGAGTGACAGGGCTGACTGCTACCCAACTTGATTACTACCCAACCATGAAAATGGTCTAAATTTCAGAACTGGGTAATATATAATAAAATTATCCCTTTGTAAAAACTCTAAATTTTAAAAGAATATTTAGAGTAAGTTTAAGAGAACTAGATACATCCTATATATAAGACTGTTTTCATTTACCTTTGAATTATTAAAAATAGTGTTTCACATATAGATCACTAAATATATTGTTACATGAGGAAGAACTAAAATAAAACATTTTATTTATTTTTAAGAGACATTTGGGGCCAGCAGGTGGCATGGTGGTTGAGGTACTGGACTCCCACATGGCCGCCTTCAGTACAAGTCCTGGGCCTGGAGGCTTGCTTTCTCACTTTCCTTCTCTCTCTTTCTGATGACTATATCAAGTTAAAAAATAATACAAGTAACAAATGATTGTTAAAAAGCCATTTATACTTACTACAGACTGGAAATATTCAGGAGAGATGCCTTCCAATTCAAGGATTTTATCTTCAAGCTTTTTAATTCTCTGGTAAATGTCTCTTGGCACTGGGCCACCTAAATATAATAAAGATAATTCTGAAATACTATTGGGTAATTCTTTCTTTTTACAATTATAATTCTTAAATTACCATGCAAAGATACTTATGCAAAGAAATAAGAAATATTGAAGCTAAAGAAAATAAACCAAAGAAGAACAGAATGAAATCCTTAGCTCATATTTTCAATATTATATAGGATGGAACACACACCTCACCTTTTCTCTCTAAACCCTATTTATGCTTCTTTTATTGCTGGGACTTTTGCTTTATGTTCAACTCATGTTACAAGATACTGAATACTGTACCAAATCGTATTTTTTTTAAAGAGAGATTTTTTGCTTACAGGACACATGCGCAAGACAGAAAGCAAGAAATCCCCTCCACCCCCGGGGGGGTGGCCACACTGTAATCCTCCTCCATTCTTCTCTCAGGATTTTGGGCACGCACACACATGTGCCTGGCATGAGTTTGAAGCCTCCAGGTCTGGGACTCGAACTACGGTCTACATGCGAGTCCAGTAACATAACCATTATGCCATCTACTAGTCCCATATTTCTGATAGGCTTTAATAGTTACTTGGGAGGAGAAAAATGCATAGTGACAAATGACAGTTAAATTCAGTGGTTATATGTCTTATATTTTTGTCAATTTATATTTTTCCCTTTATGCTGTATTTTCTCTTTTGATCTACAAGAATGTTAAAAACAGCCCTTTCTTTAATTCTCAACAACAAACTTTCCAGGGAAGAAGATGATAAATTAAGGCCTCTCAAATTCCAAGTTTATGATTGTATTTAAGTCCTTGTGCTTCTTACCACTTCCCTGCCAACAATCTCCACCCTGTCTTCCTGGATTATCACAACCTCCTAATTGGGCTGCCTCTTCCTGCCTTGCTTCCATAGAGTGTGTATTCTCAACAAAGCAGTAATGGATCCTTTTAAAATGTAAGTCAGGTTATTTCTCTGCTCATACCCTTCAATAGCTTACCATTTCACTCAGACTAAAAGCCAAAGCCCTCACAAGGGCCTGTAAGGCCTTACACACTGTGGACATTGTCCTCAAACTCATATGGTTCCAGCCACTTCATTCTTTCTTTCTGTTTTCAACTAGGCAAAGCACCCGAACCGCTTTAGCAATTGTTTCTCTTTACCTCCATAATCCTAAGGCTTACTTTAACCAACTTTAGGTCCTGGCTCAAAAGTTTCCTAACAGTAAGGTCTGCTCTGACCATCTTTTTAAACATACCAGTGCCAATCCTCAACTTCCTACCAACACTCACTATCTTCCTTCCCTTAATTTCTTTCATATCATTATTACTGCCGTTCTGTATTTTATTATTATTATTATTATTATTATCTGTTTCCCCACTCTAATATAAGCTCCAAGAGAAATTTTCTCTCTTGTGTTCATTTGGTATGACTGTATGGCTTCTGCTTTGCACAAACCTAGGAAGCATTAGTTCATAGACTACAATGCCTGGCGCAGCCATGAGGATAAACAGCAGTGAACAGCTTTGAGCTATTTAGATGGCAGGATCAAGAGGATGCAATAACTAAGCAGGGAGGGAGACTTTTCAGGCTTTGTAGCCAGTTAAGATTTGGGTTTGATTTCCAGTTATCTTGGGCACGTTGCTTGAACTCTTTGAACTTCGGTTCTTTATCTGTACAATGATAATAGCACCAACGCCTCAAAAGGGTACTGTTAAGTATTAAATGAGTTGACATAGGCATAATACTTTCAGAGTGACTAGCACCGTGTATTGTTCAATAAACGTTTGTTTTGCCTATGGCATTTATTTATTTTTATGTTTATCTACACCAAGAGATCCTTCAAGACTAGAACATTCATGAACTCTGTACATGGCACAGTAGATGAAGGAGAGGTGGTTATGGTAAATTATGAAATCGGTGGTAGGAAGACAACTAGTTTTCAGCCATGACCTCAATAAACTAAGGAGATTGGTATCTATTTGGAACCTGTTCCAATTCTACTAGATACTCTCTTGAGTTTGGAAAGTGACAACCACTGTGAGAGGAGGAAGTTCAAAGGCAACAGAACTGTAAATTCTTTGAGTAGAGACCATGTTCTGTTCATTTTTAGATAAAGCAGAACAATGTTTTTATACATGACAGCTGCTCAAATGAATATTTGGTAACTCAATGAACTAGAATTTCTTTAGCCATTTGCAAAGGTACATTATGGGGTGCCATCAGCACTCAGCTTACCTGTTTGCAAGCGCAAGTGAGCCTCAATATTTTGCAGTCGTTCTTCTACAGCCTGATTACCACAATCTCGAAGCATGCTGTTAGGGTTATGACCCGACCCTTGAATTCCTTCAGGTCTAGTCTGTGGTCCATATGTATTCACAACTCTAGAAACTAAGTTAAAAAAACTTTTAGCCTATATAAAATTAAAATAAAAAATTCTCTCTCCCTAACAGTACTTCATATTCTTTTCAGAAAAACTATTTAACCACAAATCCAAGTACAAAGAAAAGCAAGAGTTTTTGTTTTGTTTAAAATAAACATTATTTAGATGGGAAAATTATTTGTATTCATTTTTCTAATAATCTAGAACAAGCTTCTGTAAGTGACAAAGATATTAGGTGGTAGTTACTTACCCTTTACATGACTTTTAAATCCAGGATAAGGGGTAAAAACGGCATCAGTTCTTGCACAACTATTTTCTAAGAAGAATTTAGATAAATATAAGTTCAGATATATTCTTAACTTCAAATGTATGAGACTAGATAAACTTTTAGTAATTCTATAATTAACATTATAAGAAAATATAATTTTAATAATACTAATCATAATTACCATCACATACAGAATAGAATCTAGTGACCTTCTTGGGAACAAGCAGTTAGCGTAATGGCTATGTCGCTGGACTCCCACGTAGTCGACCGCGGTTCGTGTCCCGGACCTGGTGGCTTAAAACTCACGCCGGGCGCGTGTGCGTGCGTGCCCAAGATCCCGAGAGGAGAATGGAGGAGAAGGGATTGCGGCGTGACCATCCCCCCTGGGGGGTGATTTCTCGCTTTCTGTCTCTATGTCTCTGTCTGTCTGTCTGGCGAGCGCACGCGCCCTACAGTGAAAATCTCTCCAAAAAAAAAAAAAAAAAAAGAATCTAGTGACCTTCTTTACCTTCTAAAATATATAATATCTACTATTCTTTTTTTTCTTTAATTTTGCTAGAGAACATGTATTCACCAGAGAGAGCAGAGAGAAAAAGTGAGACAGTGCCCTCCATGGAGGAAGGCCATGCTGCAATCCCTTCTCCATTGCTACTCTTTAGATTTTGGGCACACATGCACACATGCCCAGCATGTTTCTCAAGCTCCTGGTCTGGGACTTGAACTACACAGATGGCCACGTGAGATCCAGCTACCTTAACCAATAAGCCACAGCTGGCTTTAATTTTCTTATCTAGCATTCAGATTTACAGATAGAAAAGTCATCAGCACTAAGTGGCATAATTTAATACAATTTTTAATGAAAACCAATATCCCTAAAAAGCATTTGGTTCTCTGGAGAAATTAACATACAGAGTACTTTAATTCTATATCATCATAGAACTAGAACTCATGTTTTATTCTGAAATGTCTTTAAAAAAACATTTTTGGTATTAATAACCAAATTACTTACTGACAACTAATAAAAAGCCTAGTTATACCTTTAACACCTTTATTTCAGAACTCCATTCCAAAAAGATGTCAAGTATAACATGTATCTTTCCATTCCACCTAAACTTCCAATGTTCACTTAAAAAAATCCCTAAGTCACAAAAGACATCCACTTCTCATTCTATCCCTTTTGAAAAATGCAATTCTAAGATAAATATGCTGTTATAATTTGTTCTAATTTTTTTCAAGCTAAAAAATATAATTTCTTTCAAATTAGAATCTAACAAATAAATTACAAAGGGGAAAATTGGAAAGAGGTCAACATAACTATGTAATACTACTAATTTTATATACTATCATAACTTTATATATATTAACATACACATTAACAATATAGAATCCTATATAGTAATATATACTAATGTTTGAAATAACATCAGTAAAACCATACACTGACAGTAAACTTCTTGCCAATTTCCCTTGATTACTTTGTAAAAACTGAATGGTAAAATTGCTTTTTTTCTGTATAGAACTTGATGTTTTAAAAACACTTTGTTTATATTTAGATCAAATTGAGAAGCATTAAAAGAAACACATTAATGCACAAAAATACAGTTTTGGGGTTTAAGTTTTTTTAAATAGAACTGCTAATAAGTCAAATTGTGTGAATAAAATTCTAAATGCACTTATCTCTTACATGTAGAGACTAAACAGAGTCATTTTCGTTTTGGAGACACCTCAGAGTAAGGTTAAAGTACTATCATTTCTCCATTCTTTCTACTATTTAATGGAGTTAAGGGTAAAAAAAAGAAAAAAAAGAAGCTATCATCCATCCCAGAATTATATTCCAAATATATAGATTAACTGACCCATCAGTGAGAAATTCAGCATGGTGTGAAGATAGCTAACGTGTGAGTGCTAGTCACTCTTCACAACAATTCTTGCTAGCACTGTTTTGAGCCAGCAAGGGATTGAATGGGCCAAGGAATCCTGCTGAGCATTTCAATTCTTGTCAATTTCTATCCCCTGGTGGTTTATAATAATAGAGTTAGCAGGGAGAACAGAGGAATAACATTAGTGGCACATGTGCTTGCTCCTTCAACAAGCCCTTTCTCATGGGTTGCTTGCAGTTGGATTGTAGTACCTGAGTTTTTGCCACTTCTGCACCTGTTTTGAAAAGCTAACAAGAAAATATAGCAAATTTAAAGATACACATGTATGTTAATAGTAGAAAAAGCTGAATTTAGAACCAAACTGAGCCTGTATTTTTTTCATTCTGAGAATCAGTGTATTAATGTGATATGAGTCACTTCTAGGTTCATCTGACAATTCTGTGTTCATAATAATTAGTCAAGAGATATTAAAGGCAACAAGAAAACTATTCATTACAATTATGAACTCTTCTCAATAATTTTTTCTGAGAACTACTTGTTCTGATTATTACTATGATGCCTGAGTAGGATCTATGGCAGTGCTTTGCAATATTTTGTATGCTGCTGCATCCCTGCAGATCCGTAAATGTACTATTGCATCAAGTGGAGAGGTAAAGGAGAATGTGATCAAAACCAGCAAATGTATGCACTGTGAGAGAAAGGAAAAAGCATAAGACACCATGAGTCTTCATTACAAATTGGTTGTATTGTGACAAACAGTTCGAACAGTTCAGGAGCAGTGAGAAAACTGCTCCCTCTTGAGGAATATTAACTTTACTAAGTTCATGTCATCTATTAACATCATAATTTCACAAGTACATTTACTGGCTTGAAATTTATACCACTCAGTTCCTTCTTACAAGTGAGACCGAGCAACCCTTCTACCCACATTTCATGTTCATTTCCTAAAGGAACTTCAAAATCATCTTTTCACCTATTGGTAAACATTAGCCTTTTTATGTTAGCATTTATTATTGTGTAAGCAAAATAAAAACCAGTTTGACAATATAGACTATAACTAGACAGAAGGAAATTCCTCTGTTTGAGTTACTAACTAAACCTGTGAAATAAACTGAATTGTGTAAATATTATTCATTTTTTAAAAAAATGAAAGATTAGGGCAATTGTAAAAATTGTGCTTTAAAGCCCGTGAAAATTAACTTCTAGGTAATTACCTTGATTACAATCAATAACATTGCAAAATTCCCTGACGTTGTTTTCATTGATTTCAGCTTGCTTTCTTTCAATAAATGCAGATATTCGTCTGTCAATCTACAAATAACAAGTATGTTTTAACAATGTAAACATAATAAAAATTCTTTAAAGTAATGCCCCCCACCATCCCCCAAAAAACTTCTTACTTCTGCTTTTCCAGCCTTTATCTGAACTACTTCTGGATCAAAATGAATCTGTGTCTTTTTCACATCTGCTAAATCACAGTCTTTGTGTTTTTCTTCCTCTTGTAGGTCGCCAAGGGGAAATTTGGCATTTGCTTCATTCTTGTTCCCTGTTTCTGTTTTTCCTATCTCTTCAACAGCAGTCGCATTTTCCTCTTTAATCAGAGGCTGAAGTTTTGCTAAAAATGGCTGAGAGAACACAATTCCATTTGCTGAGGTTCAAACTACCAAAATGAATCATGCATTTAATGTATCTATATACATTTCTGCTACCTTAAATGAAACATTTACTATCAATTACTAAATATAAAAGGTTGATATACCAGGATACATAGATCTGACCACATTTAAGTGTTTGCTGTTTTCTCCTACTGTGATCATTATTATTTGCTATAAATTTGTTTTATTTTGAAAAAAAAAAGGAAGGACGAAAAACCTGAGGAAATTTAAAATTTTCTTTGAGGGAATCATTCTGTCACTCATCTTTTATTTTGTGCCAAATCAAAGCCTTCAGCCTCTGGCACCAATGCCACTTAATTAACATGTCATTCAAATGCCTCCTCAGAACACTAAGGCTTAGTATTTTTCCTCCTTAACACGAGAGCCAGTGCTCTCACTCAGCAAAGCCCTGCATTATCACTATATCACTGGAGATTCTCCACTTGAAACTGCAGTTGGCCAATGTGAATGAGACAGCACAGACATGAAATATATAGGTGTTACACTGAGTGAACACTCAGGCTTTTCCTGACATAGCAAGGTATCTTCTTGGGTCATGAAATTAAATTTTAAAAAAGGAAATGAACAAAGAAAAAAATAACAAAAACCTACCAAGATCTATAGCTGAAAACAGATGCTTGCCATTTTAGTGTGGTGGTGGTGGGAATCCTGTTGTATAATGTTAATTGTATTATCCATTCATTGTTACCCCTTACCCCCACAATCAGGCCTCATCTGAGTTCCTTAGCTTAGTACTCTACCCTTTAAAAACAGGGTTAACTGTTACTTTTTACATTAAATTTTCCCATAAAGTCACTAAATGGAAGGCTGAAAGTTAATGTCTATTCCATTAGTCAAAACACCAACACTCATCAATGTTCCAATTATTTTTTCATACCTACAATTTTGCCTCCATTGTTTGCGGAAACCTTCTACATAACACGTTAATCACAGTAAACTGACCAATCCAAATAGTTCTTCCACTTATCTTCTTGACACTTCACATTTTACACTTTGATTAGAGTTGTAAACTTAACGTCAATTATAATTTCAGAGATGTTCAATTAGAAAACAGCAAGGACACAATACTATTTAGTTATTAAAATGAAATATTAAAAATGACACTATTATAAATAACAATTCAATACTGACTTCTAACATAAAGGATAAATTATCTCAAACTATTAAAAAGAAAAGATAAAATAGTGACTGGCTACTTACTAAGATGAGACATTAATGTCACAGAAATTACTTTCTTTTTAAAAACTATGCTGAAACTGTTTAATTGCAATAGACACTCCAGGATGTGTCATGCTGGGATAATGCCACTTCTTGAACCACTGAAAGCACTCCATGAGCCTCCAAACTCACCCAAGGCATGGAATCATTATCATAGCATGACACACACCTGCCGTGTCTTATTGCTTAATTATAACCCACCATAGATGGAACTGTATTGAATTTTCACTGCAAGTCTAGAATTGAATAGAATTGCATTCAATCTCATACCCACATCGGCCTATTGGGCTATATTCCCAAAACTATTCTGATCACTGCTGAAAAGAACAGATTTAGATCCATTTTCAATGTATCCTCTCATCACTAACGGGATTAATAAAGTGTTAAGACAGAACTAACAAGTACTTGAGCTAACTTAACCACAATTAATTTTCTATTTCAATATCAAGTTAACAGTTCTAATAAGGAATTTACCTGTAAAAATAAAACATGTTGCTCAAGTGCACTAAAGAGCAATGCAGGCTGGCATGCCGAGAGGCTCTGGAGCTTGTTCCAATCGATTGTAATTTTCACCACATCATCTCTGAGGTTAAGCTTCAAAGGGGCAAACCAGTAACATGATAAAAATTACACGATTAAGGTGTACATATGGGACTGTCACAAAAATAAGATTTCTATAGACTAATACAACATGCCTATTTTGCTCAAAGCAACCATGTTTTAATGATACATTAAAATGCTCTACATAGTTACTATTTTAAACAGTCAAGAATTGTGTTGATTTTCTTAAAAAAAAAAAAAAAGACATCCTATTCTAATGGATTTCAAACCATCCATGAATAACAACAACAAAAAAAATAGAAGGCTTTTTTGATACTTCAGTTTCTAAAAATCTTTGGATAAGATGCAGAATAGGTTTCTCCAATTAAGAATACGACTATTTCTTAGCTCAGAGCATTAAACAGACAAGACACACCATTTTGAGAAAATACTAATATGCATATTTCTCTTTGTTAAATGTGAACACAAATACATACCTGAAATACATCATTCTGATGTCTTTTGAATGACATTTTTATTATTTTAAAATTTAACTAACTTTTAAAATGATTTAAAAATCAATATACTTCATACATACCAAATCTAGCTATAAATGGCAACATGTTTATCTATTTCAAATAAAAATTAAACTTTTTTTTGATATGGAAGTCACAATAATGAAATAAACTGCTATTAACTGCATGGAGTGTTCAGAGCTTTGACTAATACAATTTTCTAGTAAGATGTGAGGCTCATTATAGGAGAATTTCTTATCAGCTGGTGATCTGTTAGAATAAAATCATATCCAGAAAACTACCAAGAACTTAAATATAAAATTAATATTGAAATCAGTAAAAATTTTTAAGTGAGTGCCTCCATCTGCAGTCCTCTGAGTGAATAAAAGTGAGCTACCATAAACTTTTCCAGGGACAGTGTTTATATAGTATAAGGAGGTCCTCCACAGTAGAACCAAGATAACTATATTTTTTCCAGAAATAATTTATTAAAAATTAGCCAAAAAAGTATAAAATATAAAACTTATATATAAGTTCAAATCTAGACTTTATGAGTTATAATAAAACAAAAGATGAATCACTGAACAAGGAATCAGTGAGATTCAAGGTTATCGATAAAAAGGCCCAATACTGAACAAATACTATGAATTTACTGGCCTTTGAACAAGAAGCCAGAAGCATTTAGTCTTTTAGACAAGTGTAAAAAAATACAAAATTTTATGTAAGTTACGTGGCAAAGATTATTAATTAAGATTTTACATTAAGATTAATGCATTAACCTAAATGTATATCACTTTCATGTTTATGATGATATTTAGATCACTTATATATATACATTATAGATGGAAGTAAAGTTAGACCACTTATATATATACATTATAGATGGAAGTAATCTATTACTAAAGTTTTACAGTCCTCAAAGAGATCTATAGTCAATTATAGCAAATTGATGATTATAGTAATAAAGTAGGCAAAACTTCAACCTAAGAAAATTGTCACATTTTTCTAGAGAAAATAACTTGTAGAAAATAAATCTCAATGCTTTGGTCATATTCTCATTTCAATTCAGCATAACTATGTAAGCCTTTAAGTGCAATTAAGGATACTTGGCCTTTTAAGAAAACCGTAATAATGTCACAAATGAATTTTAAAACTATCTCAATACATCCAACTGTTCATTCAAAAAAATTCCCTATTAATATGACATCTATGCATTATAGATTTAAGTTCCCTATAGAACTTAAAATAGTAGACAATTTAATAAAAAAACTCTATTAGTCTACTATTAATATAGACTATTTAAGTATGCATTCTCATGTTAATATAAAAAAAAAACTAACAGTAAATAGTTCTTTAACTTGGTAAACTAGGCCAACCAAATGAAAGCAAAAAAGTTAAAAATAAATTTTGTGATCTGGAGTAGAAAAATACTTTTTAACATTCAATTTCATGTTTCTCATTGAGGAGAGGTTATAATACAATGATACATAGGATGATAAAGGATGGATTAGGCATATTATGAGAAACATATTTAAAATCTTTTGAACTGGTTGTGAAAGGAAACATTGATTTCCCCCTGGGGAGATTTTATTAGTACTCTGGCTTCCACTCTTAAAACAATACATCTAAAAATGTAAATCATTATTAGAATGGTTAGTTAGCATTTCATTGCTGAGATAACCTTATTTTTGACACGTGTATAGAAGGTCTTTTCAGAAACTCACAAAATATTCATTCTAAACACAGCATAAGTACATTTTAATCACTTCTCGCCTATAGAAAACTTGCATGTTTAAAATTTTTAAATGAACTTTTAAAAATTCAGCATACAAGATATTTTAAAAGAAATGTTTAAATTATTTCTCAATGTTAATTCCTAAAATTATCCCATCACTGAAAAATAACTACTGCCAATAATAGGTGAGTATAAACTTTTTTAATTTTGACAGTAGACTATAATCAAACTTGAAAGTTTTAATGTACATGCCATATAAAGTTCTCTAACTTTTAAACCACTTAAAGGTTTCAAGACTAAATTGTTAATAACAATCAGAAATCCTCAAGTCTAAAAAAATTTTTTTGTAAATCCTTCACAGACAACTGAGTTCAAAATTTGTATCTTTCTGGAGATTCTATTAAAAATTCTTCATTCCACAAAACTGTTTAACTTACAATAATGCTGTCTGTAAGTTACAACACTAAGATTTTTTAAAATACTAAAGTAATTATAAAAGATTGATTCTCCTTCAATCAACACCCAAAGTGTTTAAAAATTTTCACAGATTAGAGAAACGCTCTTATTTTCACAGGCATTTAATCTCTGATGTAAGTTCCTGCTGTGCCTAGTGCATGCACTAGTACCAGCCCCCAGACAAACTTTTATAGCTAAGAAACAGTCCATGCAAGATATAAAATATTTTTAAAAGCAACCAAGCACATCTTTAAGTTTTTCTCATTTAAAATGTACTTTGAATTTTACATCATGAGACGAAAGAATGATCTGACCAAGCACAATGTAAGAAGCCCACTTTTTAAAACCCAATTTTACTATGACATTTCTGATAAAGCGATTTATCAGCCAGTTACACCAGTTAATATTAATAAACTAGTGAAACATCAGTTTAATGGAAGTAACATCAATCACGAATAACTCATCCAATTTTACACTACGGAAATATTTTAGATGAATTCCTTTTACTTTCCTCCCATGTGAAAAGGTAACAGATGCACGCATTGAGCAGAAAGAAAAGGAAACCAACAAAACTAAGTGAATCATAAAAGTAAATCACCCAAGAAAAGGGGTGAGCGTTTTAAAAAAAATCTCAGGCCGTAATGACCAACCGATTTCTATAATGAATAAGTTGGAGGAAAAAGGACCCTGAGCACTAGGCACCTCCTAAACCCTCAGTTTCCCAGTCTGTTTCTATCGGAGCTAGATTTTCACTTAGACCACCCTCCCTAACTCCCAGTTGCAAAGTAATCTAGTCTCCAGTCGGTACTGCACTGAGCCGGTACGGCCCCCTCCTCACTCCAACCGGAGGCAGTTGGGCTCCGGTTCCCCCTCCTACCTCTGCTACCGGGGCCACGTCCCACCACCCGGCAGGCCTCGGCCGCCCCCCGCCCCCCC